AAGATTCAAGCATACTAATTGCCTAATTTGCATAATATGCATGATCATCACATTTCAACTTGATACATAAATGCTTTTTGGTAATGCACAGACTTGATCAGTGGCACATGCGCTCTGGCATAAATCAAGACTGCAAACCATGGATGTACAATCAAATTATTTTATGAATTTATGAAACTATAAGCTTCAATAATGTTTCATGTGCATCTCAAATACCAGACAAATATTAGTCACCAAGCTTCTTGTTTGAAAGGCTCATCTTAAATTCTGAAGTCATTTTAAATATTCCCTATGCTCTCAGCACATGGAAGTTCTTTCTAAGCTTTCTTCGATTTTGATCTGACTTTGTGTAAATCAGTGATCTGAGAAAGAGAGTCTCTGCCAGTCTTCATTGGATGATTTTATTAAAGACTTATCTGGTGAGAGATAGGGAGAAACACCTTTCTCAGGCATCCACCAAAGTTAATATTGACACAACCACAGCAATTGAGGCCTGAATGTGTCATTGCATGATTTGATATGCACTTTGAGCAAGTCAAGTCTGTTTCTACAAAGATAACAAGTGTCAGGAAAACTAGAACTCTGTTTGATCAATAACTTTTGTGCTGTATGTTATTTCACATTTTTAATATACAAAGTGTATGAAAAGAATGACAACATATTCTAAAACTTAAATAAGTCATTGTGCATTCACTGCATGATAATAACCATGTTTTAGGGTATTAAAAGCCTTTTCAAGGATAAATTAATTGTAAAAATATGATTCCCTAACTATATTATTGGTGGATCATTTGAGGGGCGAGTGTGTAGACTCTTCTGTGAAACAAAGCCTTACATGAGATGTTAGACAGTTATAATAATACATTACCTAATGCAGTCCAGTTGAGTGAAAATAAGCACTTTCAAGCATAAAATATTTTTGGAGGGAAGAAAAATGTGATTTAAAATTAGTAATTTTTGTGGTAAAACCAACTTTTACTAGTATACGAAATAAATTATAAAACAGTAATCTAATCTACATGTACAAAGGAATGAGTATTGTTTGGATCAAGTTTAAATATCCATTATCTTAGCTCACAATATTCAATTTACTTGGCAAAACGTGCCATGTTTCAACGCAGTACAGTACTTAATATTTCTGGAGAGCAGTTTGCGGTAAAGGTTCACCTTGACAACAATTTTGCCAACTAATGTTGTGAACTTTCCTCGCCACTTTTTATCAACATTCTGCCTAACTTTTTTGACTTTCCACCCCTTGATTGTCCATCGTCGTCGTCGTCCATGTCATTGTTTTACTTTTTCGACTTCTTCTTGAAAACTACTAGCCTGAATGCTTTGATACTTTGTGTATATGTACCTTGGGTAGACCTCTCTCAGATTTGTTCATTTCATTATGATATCTTCAATTCTCTAATTTTGGTGAATATTTTTGTCATTTTTGGTAAAAAGTGATATTTTCGACTTCTTGTTAAAAACACAATTCCAATTGTTTTGATATTACATATATAGGTACTATATGTGGACCTCTCAGATTTGTTCATTTTGTAATGATATCTTTAATTCTCTAATTTTGGTGAATATTTTTGTCATTTTTGGTAAAAAGTGATATTTTCGACTTCTTGTTCAAAACCGCAAGTCCAATTGCTTTGATATGACATATATAGATACTACATGTGGACCTCTTTCAGATTTGGTAATTTCGTGGTGATATTTTCAATTATCTAATTTTGATGATTATTTTTGTCATTGTTGGTGAAAAGTGATATTTTCGACTTCTTGTTCAAAACCGCAAGTCCAATTGCTTTGATATGACATATATAGATACTACATGTGGACCTCTTTCAGATTTGGTAATTTCGTGGTGATATTTTCAATTATCTAATTTTGATGATTATTTTTGTCATTGTTGGTGAAAAGTGATATTTTCGACTTCTTGTTCAAAACCGCAAGTCCAATTGCTTTGATATGACATATATAGATACTACATGTGGACCTCTTTCAGATTTGGTAATTTCGTGGTGATATTTCAATTATCTAATTTTGATGATTATTTTTGTCATTGTTGGTGAAAAGTGATATTTTTGAATTCTTGTTGAAAACAGCAAGTTCCTTGCTTTGATACTATACATATTGTTCATTTTCTAATGATATCTTCTGTTCTTTAATTGAAATGTTCATTGCTAACAGCGAGGCTATCTCAGCCGACCGGCTGCTTGTTTACAACTTTTATGAATCTCCAAAACTTGTACGACTATCCAGCAATTTTTACAAGTTTCAAGCCTACCTTTTCGTCTTTCTGGCCAAGTTTCATAACTTTACTGCCAACTTCTCTCTTTACATCTTCACAGACTTTCCAACCAATCTTTAAGACTTTCCAGCAACTCTCAAAACACCTTTACTGAATTTCTGTCCAACTTTTCAACCAGCTTCTCTGACTTTCCAACCAATGTTCTTGCCTTTCTAAGCAAGTTGTACATCATTTGTCACAACTTTTTCAACTTTCCAAGAAACTTTTTTGACATGCGACTTTTATGATTCACCAACAACTGTTTTGACATCGTCTAAATCACACGGTCCTGTGTCTTCAACCTATAGGCCTCTACACTTGGCTAGAGGCTTGGCCGAATAA